ATCATACACTTGGAAATAAGCACATCAAGATGTATGGAACCAAAATAGGCAAAAGTGAAGAGAATATCACCACAAAAGCTGCTGTGAAGAACCCCTAGAAAACCTGACCTCCAAACCTCAAAACCACGATCCGATCGCCAAAACGTTGGCTCGGATGTTGTGAAGACACTGGCAAAAAATCACGACGATCCGACCGTTCAATCTCCGGGAAACAGAGTTTTTTTGCTGCTGTGTCAAAAATGACGAAAATATTTGGAGCTCTCTCCTTTTTTTTTCTATTTTTGGCTGCACACTTAAAATCTAAGAACTAGGGCTGCAAAAGGGCTATATATATATATATAGGCCAGAACATATATAGGCCTTCCTCATGGGCTAAAACCATAAGAAAAACCCAACAGGCTGAGCTTAACTCATGAAAACCATGTAGGTTGTGGATTGTTGAGGCTTAGAAGCTTGGGATTCGGCTCAGCTTCGACTCATATAGGCTTGGTTTTTATGAGTTGTTATAAGCTTGAGTTTTTTGCTCTACTTTGACCCATATAACATTAAATTGAACACTTAGAATAAAATTAACAATAAATCGTCCTTCAAAAGTACATGTAAAATCTCTAAGAAGCTAATGCTCTCATTGGCAAAGTGGCTGATATGTCAGGTGTTGCCTCACAAGCTAGTTGTAGTTGTTAATGGATAAATTAGTTACGAATAGTAAAAACTAGCTGATAAGGTAACTTACAATGTAAACTGACTTTACAGGCCGTAAATTGAAAAATTACTCAAGTCTAACATATAAGGGGCACATTTGGAAGGGAAAAAAAAGTGAGAAAAGCCCCTAGAGCTTATTGAAAGACTATCAGAAATAGCTTTTCAAAAAACTAGTTTATAAGCTAGTTTATGGCTTATCTAACGGAGCTTTTTCAGTAGGCTCAAAAAAATAAGGGGCCGTTTACCAAACACTTACCCGGTAAGTGCTTACCGGCAAAAAATAACACAATCATTTACTTACCGGGTAAGATTTTAGTCCATCAAAACGGCATCGTATACAACAATTTACCCGGTAAACGCTTACCGTGGTAAGAGTCGTTGCCCTCACTTACCGGGTAAGAGTCGTTGCCCTCACTTACCGGGTAAGAGTCTTGGTCCTTGTCTTGCTCTTACCGGGTAAGAGTCTTGGTCCTTACCATATTCATCCGATAATGTAATGTGATTTATTAAGCGCTTACTCGGGTAAGCATTTGGTAAACGGCCCCTAAGTTAGCTTATGGTTGGTGGACTAAATATATTAAGATTACACCATAACTTGTATAGGCTCGATGTGCTTGATATTGTTAAGGTCTACTCATTTAAGCTAATCGGGAGCCTATACAATAATAGGCTCAAGCTCAAGCTCAAGTTCAATAATCAAATGATTCAGCATGGTGCTCGATGAACAAAAGCCTTTAATATCTCGCTCCATCTAAATATCACGTCATTTGATGGCGCAACCAGGATACAGACCGAACCGTGTCTAGGCCATATGAGCCCATTTCATCCAACATTGTGCTTTCTGGCATATCTCCGAGATTATATCATAACCGCAAAATGATGCATCTCAACTTATAAAAGACACATTATGGCTTTCAATTGATGGATTGAAGAAGTTTTTTGTGGTTGATGAGTGAAGATGTTTAATAGCATTTATAACAGAATTTCCAAAATGAGAATAAACGTAATTGACTTCAATAGAATTCTTAAATCATTCTTCAACATAAAGAAAGTGGAATAAAACACAAAAAGTTATTGGTATCTTACAGATCCAAATTCATTTTTTTTTATAAATTTTCTTTCATGCAAACCAGACTGGTTACGAACTAGACCAGACTAGACCATCGTTCAGGTTCAATATTTTCCTTGTTAGACCATGATAGGGGCATGGGGCCTCGAACAATTTTTATTGTATTTTATGTTTTTATAAATAATAACCTATTTTTGTATATTTATTTATTATGATATTGTACTTTCATTTTTTCTTTATTATAACAACGTACTTTTAAACTATTGTTTAATAGAGTTTTGTGCTTTGAATTTTTTTTACCAATTATAGGAATTGATAACATTTTGACTTGAATTAAAAAGAAATGACACAAGTTACTAGGTTTTCATGTCATGTCATTGTTCATGTATAACATATGGTAAGAGTGAAGTTAAGGACTGAGAGTTTTACCCGGTAAGTGATGACGACGACTCTTATCACGGTTAGCGTTTACCGGGTAAGTTGTTACATACGATGTCGTTTTGGTAGACTAAAATCTTATCCGGTAAGTAAGCGATAGAGTTGAATTTTACCGTTAAGCGCTTATCGAATAAGTGTTTAGGTAAACGATTGCTAAACTTTATTAAATATATGTATATATTTGAAT